ATATTTAATTTTTTTTTCCTTTGCATGACTTGCTACGAACAATGATCTATCATCTATCTATCTATCTATGGTTTGGCCAGCCAACAGCCCCCACCTAACTGTTATGAATTTTGTGGAATTTCGGGAAAGGATTTCAGAATCAATCGATCAGTTAAGAGGCAACGTGTATGGGAAATTTTTACTTTAGTGTAGCTTGTCATTTTTAGTGTTTTTGTTCTACTTTAATATGTAGATAATTATTGTAGTTGCAGTCATCCACGGCACTCTTTGAAATTATATAAATATTTCCCATTTTGTGTGAGTGGGCTAAAATATAAAGTGTGTTACATACATGTATAATACACAGGGTGTTCCATTTTTAAAAATATTGCATGTCAGAAAATTGATAGTGTTTTGTTTTATACGTCACTTCGAAAAAAAAACCAACTCTACATTCTGTTTTTTTGTTTACCTAGAGGAAAAAAAACCTAAACCTATCTCTCTAACAAAACTAACAGCTAAAAAGGCATTATTCACATTTTTGAATGTAACAAGGTTGTAGGGTTACTAGGGAAACAATTTATTGTCGCATCCTAAAGAGAAAGGGGCAGGTCACATAGCTTAACAAAGTCGGTGACGAGGAATAATGAAGTTTTGTATCTGAACGTAACCCCAAATTGTTATCTGTTGATTATACAGGATGAACGATCTAATAAAATCCCTCGACGCCATCTTGTTTATTATATTATATCTCTTTAACGAACGCCAGAAAATGATAAAAACCTAATCGGAAAATTTAGTTTTCTCTTCACTATTGACGTGAATACACTGTGTAAAGAATATTTGGTAAAAAATGTTGTATTTGAGTAGGATCGCGTCAAGTGGACCCCCCCATTTACCACTTGATCATAAAAATTTAATCTATATATATATTTTTTATAAGTACTTATGATGGAAAATTGATCCCTCAAACGATTTTTTAAAATTTTAAGCACTTTTAATTAAAAAATGTATTAAAAATCAACCGTAATAGATAAATTTGTAATAATGAAATGAGACGTAGCGAAAACAGTCCAATCAGCATCAACACCAAAATCATTTTTATTGGCAAAATTACATTTAAATAATAATTAAAATTAATTTTTTAATCACATAATTTCATAATTCACTAGGCCCATTTTAAATCACAGAAAATATTATTATTACAATTAAAAATTATAATACTAAAATATTAACTAAGAAAACACAACTCAACATCACTTCTGTTTTTATTTTTAATAATTATTTCATGCTTTGCGTATAAACTTACGTCACGAATAGACTGGAATGACTTCTGAAATTATTTTGTTATTATGCGGTTTTTCTTTTTCGCTGTTGACTAGTAAATTTAAAAATTATAATTTACTAAATTACCTAGAAAAAATAAATATAGACCATAACAGTTTTAAAAATTTAAAGTTGATAATTTTTTTCAAAATTTACGCTGTTTGGTAAAAATAATTAAAAAAATTGATAGTATTCCTTGTATCATTGTTAAAAAATTTTTATTAATAATAATTATGATAAAATAACATAAGTAATAATAAAAGTTGTTTTATAATAATATTTTGTATTATTGTTTTAAATTATCTCTGATAAAATCTTCAATAAATAAATAAAAATTTATTTAATTCGTTAATATATTCTTAATTAATATATTAATATGTATATGGATTTTTAATCCGTTTTTTAATTAAAAGCGCTTAAAATTTTAATTATAAAAAAAAAGTTTGTTAAAATCAAAATTTTAAAAAATCGTTTGAGGGGTCAATTTTCCATCATAAGTACCTATAAAAAATAAATATAAATGTGGTAAATGGGGGGTCCACTTGACGTGATCTTACTCATTTGCCAAGTTTTTTAGGTTTTGAGGAACATTGTATTGGAGACATTTAAGCTTTTCGGTACTTTTCGGCAACCCGTTATGGCAAAATAATTATTCCTAACCAAAAATTGTTTGACCAGTTAGCACGATAACTAATCCAACAGAAACCCAAGTGGTAACCAAATGGGCGATCGGGATCGGTAAAGATGTGATCATAAGGGGTGACTTATTCGTTTTTCTTTCGCATCCCGAAAGCAAGTGAAATATCGGTCGCCGGGGGTGAAATTTCGCACTGCCAGTAAGTTTAAAGTTTCAAATTGGACATACGAGCCGAGTTATTAAATCCAGGATATTCGGTTTCCGAAAACATTTATATATACTTTCGGATTTCTGGAAAAGTTCTGTTGTTCCTGACGCAGAAGAATGTTGAATACAAAAGTTATGGATCAGACCAAAAGAAACAATTTAAAAAGGCCGATTCATAAGTATGTGGAACTGTAGATCGTTTGTTATTATGTATCTAAATCTTTGTTTATACAGGGTGACCAAATAGTTTGTCAAAATAATGTATTATTTGGTTTGGAGAAAACTGTTAAATGCAAAATCTATAGATGAGACTAAAAGAAAATTATTTTAAAATATACAGTGCGATTCATAAATATGTGGGATAAAACGTTGGAAAAAAATGAGAGAATTTATTTTGCACAGTTATAGACCTAGCACACACTGTGAAGATTAAAAAAAATATCTTTTTCCCTTATTAAATATCCTTTTCTTTTTAAAATAATACACTTATAATGTGAATCTTCTTTTATATAAAACTAGAAATGAAAATTATTAGCGAGTAAAAACTAATTTCACATATTTCAGGGGTTTGCTATTATGTATCTAAATTATCGTTTATACAGAATGTCCAAATAATTTGTCATAGTTATTTATTTTTGAGAAAAATGTTAAATAAACAATGTTAAGAAATAAATAAAATAAATAATAATAAAAAAAACTGGTGGGACTCTCTTTGCTGTACAAACTCAGAACAGATTCGATGATTTTCAATGTGAGGAAATGAGAGAATTTATTTTGCTTGGTTATCGATCTAGGGAATGCAAAACATTGTCAAAAGAAAAGAAATACCTTTTACCTTTGTTAAATTTCGTTTCCATTTTAAAATTATACACTTATAATGTGATTCCTCTTTATTTAATTTTATTAGACGGGTTTGCTATTATGTATCTAAATTATTGTTTATACATTGTGTCCAAATAGTTTGTCAGTCGTTTATTATTTGCTTTTGAGAAAAATGTTAAATAAAAAGTTATAAAATAAATAATAATAAAAAATAAAATAAACAATTTAAAATTATTTTAAAATATACAGGGCGATTTGTAAAATTGTAGGACTCTAATACTCCACTTTTTTGCTGTACATTCTCAGAACAGATTCGATGATTTTCAATGTGCAAAACTTTTTGCTCTTAAAACGTTGAAAAAAATTCTAACAGAATAAAAGGAGAGAATTTATTTTGCTTATTTATTGATCTAGGGGACGCAAAACATTTTCAAGATAAAACAAATACCTTTTACCTTTGTTAAATATCGTTTCCATTTAATCCGTATAATGTGAATCTTCTTTTATTTAAAATTAGAAATGAAAATTATTAGCTTTGATTAGTAAAAACTAAATTCACAGATTTAAGGGATTTGGTATTATGTATCTAAATTATTGTTTATTCAGAATGTCCAATTATGTTTATTTCGTTAAATATCGTTTTGTTTTTTAAATTATACGCCCATAACATTCATTGAAAATTAAAAATAAAAATATTAGTTTTGATTAGTTCATAAATTACTTCTATTTTGTCTTCCAATTGTTCTTCACTTCCACCCAACAATTTTTTCAAGTTCTTTTTTGTGTTTAATTTGCAACTCGTCATATCTTGTCTCTGTTCCAAAGGATTTTAGTACTTCAAGGAATAATTTCTCATTTCTCGATTTATTTTCTTCCATTACGCTTACGATTCTCTCTTTCCTTTGTTTTCTTTTTACCTTGTGTCTCTCATATTGTTCTTTTCTACTATTTTTTATGTACTGCTTCCATAGCTTTTTCTGTGTTTTAATTTATTATTCTAACTCTTTTGACAGCCCTTTGTTTACATTTCATAGCTGTATCCGCGTTTCTCAGTTTATATTCCCTAGTTCACATGTTTGTTTCATATTTCCTTGTATATTTTCCTTTAACGTTGCTGTAAGGAGATATCGGTCATTATATAGTTCGAATTTGCTTCTCGCATTGGTTTTAGGATGGATGGTTTTCTCAGCTTTAAAACAGCGTCCGCTCTAAGTGTCATTAATATAAGAAATTTTTGCAGAAAATCGCGTTTAGCATTCATTACGCCCCCTGGCGGCCGAAATTTTTAATGTCCGAATTGGAACTTATTATTGTTACTATTATTTTAAGTGTTATCGCGGTGCCCTTTTCCGTCAGAGGCAAACCGAACTTTCGGTAGCCGGTTAAAACCAATTAGCGAGTGTTAAAAGGTCGATTGACGTAATGACTCGTCGACGCTGTTGCCCACACTTCGTTTCGGCAACACACAGGTAATTGGAAAAGTTTCGTGGGCAGCCGCGTTTTGTTTTCCCCTCAGAGATCGAAATGTTCACTTCGATCCGTTCGACTTTGATTTAAGGTTTCGACATTTTTTATAAACGTACCGGGTGTTCGTTTTTTAACGTCGTTAATGGAAGGTATAACGAGTATCCAATGTATATGAAAATATTCAAAAATTCAATGATAAAACATCTTGCCCCAGATGAAAGTGAAATCGCTTGAATTTGTGTGTGTTTCTTTTTTTAAGATCGTTTGGACCTGTGACTTTATAATTCCTGCAGAATCTTCTAATGTCCTGCAAAAAATACTTGGATTTTTTCGGATAGAATAGAATCCATGTTGAATTAATTTGATTTTAATTTGCCGGACATGCCTCGTAGTGCATGGCAGGCTTTAAGCATGAATTATTCTCCGGGCTTTGATTATTGAGGCCGAGCTTTTTGCCATATTTCATAACGTTTCACTCCCCTAGTTGTCAGCATGGGTGGTTTTTTGAATTTCCTCTCCAAGTAGTTACTTTAAATTTTATAAATATTTATTATATTTCCAGATGGTTCCGATTCAGAGAAAGGCTACTTCGGGCCTTGGAAAACGTGCAAATGGTTGCTGTATAATCGGGAGAAATGCGGGTGGGACTCGACAAGGTTCAAACCGTCTAGTGAGTATCATGTTACTGATGATCTTCGTCTAAATTATCGTATTTTACGAAAAATTAATGTTATTTCGTTGTTTCTCTGCTAACATTTCGAATTCAAAGATTTGAGAACTTGAAAAAATTTTTTCTACTCCCGTCTGTAAAATATGTAATTACGCACCGATCTAGAGCGCGGGAAGCGACGCTTTACCACGTCAGTTGCGTTTCGGAGATATTTCCCACGCTTTGAATTTTGACGTTTGTCAATTCTGACAGTCATGCCAGTGAATATATTCCGTGTTGTTTTGCGAAAATGTACCCTAAAACTAACGGTCGTAGAAAAAGTATAGTATGCAACACGTTCGGTAAACTTTTTAACTCACTCGTTTATTAAACACTCGCTCCGCTCGTGTCAAATAAACTTGTGAGTCAAATGCCGTTTACCGCACTTGTTGCATTATATACTATTAACAACCTTAAAGAGACTGATAGAAATCAAGGAGAAATAAATCCTCCCATTTTCAGAGTAAACAGTAAGTAAAAGTGTAGTAGTTTATAAGCATTTTAAATAGCTGTGATTAATATATTCTAATAATCATGATAACCATATAATATTTCAATTATTGGTAGCTAATGTCAACAGTTTTAATGTCATTACAAAAGTTTTCTACTTAAAACATCAATTTTGATAAATAAATAAATGCTTTTTAATAAAACGTTGAGGCACTTCAAATACAAGATTTTTATTATTATAAGACATCAACATCCGTTTACCATAAGCAAGCAATAACTTGTTTTGAACATGATTCCGTTTAAAACAAATACGCAACACATTAAATACAGGGAAAAAGAAAGTCGTCGATGTTTTAAAGTGACCAAACTGATAATTTATAAACAAATCAATGTCAACATGCTTTCAAGAGTGCCGAAAATGTTGTACTTCGATTGGTGTAATGGTGGAAAAGAGTTGATTTATTACAATGTGATTTTTTCTGAGAGTACAATAATAATTATAAATTATTAAAACAATTTATTGTAAAATATATAATGATGGAATTGTAGATATTCTGATCGAATTTGAATAGTTAATTAGGAAGTAGTCAATTGACCAACACATAACGCTATGTGTATTTATGACTAAAAAAACTTATATCACGTCAAACATTGGTTTATCGTTATATTAGTGTGTTTAGCTTGTATTTTGCTGCTCCTAAGAATCATCAAATAGCAATATCGAACTGTTAGAACGTAATTTTCTTCAGACGATCAATCTCAAACGTCAGCAAACAACATACAAATCGTCTCTCTAGAGGGCGTCGCAGCCAATTTGCCGGGGAGTTGAGTTAATTATAAGAAACGATCGGACGCTATGCTTATTGCGATAGCGAGAAACCCGGAAAACTAAATTACCAGCGCGAAATCGATCCTGTCGGTAATCCGAATCGTAATGAAATAAATAAGAACTAAAAGCTGAGATTTTCACGAAATTACATATATATATATAGTCACTTGAGAATTGTTTCGACAACACCGTGTCTTTATCAAATGTAATATTTACAAACTACCTGCTACAATATATACCGAAAAATGACAATAAAACCTTAATTAATGTTGTTGTGAGAATTTAAGTTTAATAATGGAGAGGTATTTAAATCTAATTGATCGTTGAATGTCTCATTTTGTTAATCTCGATGGCTTCCAATATATATATATATATATATATATATATATATATATATATATATATATATATATATATATATATATATATATATATATATATATATATATATATATATATATATATATATATATATATATATATATATATATATATATATATATATATATATATATATATATATATATACATATACATATATATATATATATATATATATATATATATATATATATATATATATATATATATATATATATATATATATATATATATATATATATATATATATATATATATATATATATATATATATATAT